ACTGTGTGATGAATCACACAGTGACTCACATTTGCCACAAATGACTGCTGAGAAGTATAGCCTAACTATGAGGCACTTCAGAAGCTGTGAGAAGTCCAAGGAGTAGGGAATCTTTCTCTAATATATAATGATCTTGTAGACCTAGTTATAAAGTCAATGCAAAGGCTTAAATGGGAGAGATCCTACCAATATAGGAGAGGACCAAGACACCCTTTCTATTCAATGGTAGAAGCTGCACTGATTTCTTTGTAATCCTTAGGAAAGGCCCACCCAGCCAGCTGGTTTGGGCCTGATGTTGCAGCTAATCAATATTAGTCTGGATAACATATGTATGGCTGAGATTCCATTGGTAATCCTCTAGCTATTTTGAAGCTTCTTCTCTCCTGCCAACTCTACAGAAGCTGGAAATCCAGACACTCACTGTCCTAAACCTCCCTTTCATGGGTGGTCTTGTGACCCAACTATTGAGAAATAAGGTGTAAAAAGGACTCTGGGCAGATTTCCTTCCCTGATGAAAGGGAAAATGGGGTTTCTACATGACTCCCCTTTCTACTTCTTCCCAATTTGTACAAGGACATGATGTCTAGGGTTACGATAGTCATCTGTGACCATGAAGGAACAAGCCAGAGGATGAAACACAACATGCTCAAGATGGCAGGGCATTAGACCAAAAGGTCTTATTGGCCAACCACTGATGGGGAGGCAAGGTCATATGCCAGACATTAGGCCCTGTACTTGACACTGGTAGCGTCAAGAGTGAGGAAGACACAGACTCAGCTTGCTAGAATTCTCACTTCTCGAGGATTTGAGCAGGGTCCAGTACTGAATCATCATGGATCCTGGTATACTGAACACAAAGCACTGCAACATGCAACCACTTTCCATATGGGAGATGTTTGACACATCTATCAAGAATAGTACCTTGGCCAGGTCTAACCCAGGGTCTAGAAAGAGAAATAAGAGGTTGAGGTTTTCCCTGGAGGTACTAGATTTATGGAAAGAAGCAACAAAAAGAGCAAAATCATCCTCAAAGCCCATGTAGACCTCAGATACTGCAGAAATTGCAATGAGCCTAAATACAGGAGTATATATATTCCTATACAAGTTAGGGGTCAAACTCCAGGCAGTAGTTGGGTTCTCCTGGCCCCCTCAGCAGCAGAAGGTAAACAGAAACAACTTGCTAACCACAACTCAACCAAAAAATCAATCGCAGTATGGGACTGGGGAATTCTAATATGTTATCCTGGCTACTAAGCAAAAGTCTGCCTTAAAAATATTAACTGGATCAGGGGCGCCTGGCTGGCTCAGTTGGAAGATCATGTGACTCTTGATCTCTAGGTCATGAGTTGGAGCCCCACACTGAGTGTAGAGATTACTAAATAAATAAACCTAAAAAAATTAACTGGAACATGAATGTATCTGTATTACTGAAGTTAAAAAGATGCACAAGAGAAGTGAGATGTGGCTTTTGACTCATTGAACAGCATCTATAGCCAATGAAGGGTCAGAAAGCTTTTTTACATACTCAACTATATTAAGTTTGTATATTTTCTTTATTTTTTAATTTAAAAAAGCTTTACTTTGTTTCTAATTACAAAGGTATACATCCTTATGGAGAAATACTTAAATACAGAAATAAGTTCACATTACTCATTATATTAGTTTCCTATTGCTGCTATAGCAAATTATCACACTTTTAACGGCCTAAAACTACAGAGATTTATTATCTTACCCTTCTGGAGGTCAGAAGTCTCAGTGGGCTAAAATCAAGGGGTCAGCAAGGCTAGGGTTCCTCTGAAAATTTTGGGGGAGAATCTCTTTCCTTGCCTTTTCCACTTTCTAGAAGCCATCTGCATTCCTTGGCTCATGGCCCTTCCTCCATCTTTAAAGGCAGCAAGGTAGTGTCTTTAAGTCTCTAACTCTGATACTGATTCTCTTGTCTCGCTCCTTCACTTCCAGGGACTCTTGTGATTACATTGGACCCATCTGGATAATCTAGAATACTTTCCCTATCTCAAGGTCTACTGATTTTTACCCCTAATTCCATCTGCAACCTTAATTATCCCTTACCACGTAATACAACATAGTCACAGGTTTCAGGGATTAGGACATTTTGGGGAGGCATTATTTTACCTACCACACCCACTATTTTACTAACCAGGATTAACCACAGTGAATATTTTAGTGAACAATTCCTTCCAGACCACTCCGCATGCATATGCATATAGAGATCTACCTATATACTTATTTATGTATATAGATATATAAAAATTGAATATTACACTTACCTTTTGCTACTTGCTTTTTCCACTTAACCTCATGGGAAATGTGTGTAGATTTCTACCCATTATTTTTAATAGCTACCACATTATCACTTTACCATTGAATAATATTTTTTGAGTAAATACCATGTGTTGAACACAGCATTAAGTGCTCACTTAATTTAGTCCTTACAACATTCCTACGAACTAAGAGCTATTATCACCACCACCATCCCTTCAGAGCAAGGACACTGGAGGGCGTTCATAGAGAGATTAACTTGCTCAAGAGACACCGTTAGTGGTTAGTGGTAGTACTCATTTTAACTACCCTATAACCATGCTCTTCACCACATGGTGACCTGCTTCCTCGGATATGCCACACAGACGTCCCTTAGGTTATTTAAACCTAGTGTCCTACTATAAACCATTTTGGCTGTTTGTAATTTTTTACTATTGAAAATAGAACTGAAATAAACAAGATCATACCCATGTCCTTGGACACACTTGTGATGATTTAAGAACAATTCTTTGAACTATTACTATATGCTAAGACTCTTCTTTTTTTTTTACGCTAAGACTCTTTATATGTATTTCCAAAATGTCCCTCAGACAAGGTACAGTAATTCACACTCTCAGTGTCAACACTTTGAATTATTATTCTTTTTAATCTTAATAATATAATGAGGCAAATGGATGTATTATTTTTTCTTTGCTAATTTCTTTAAATGTTCTTTCAATATATTTCTTGAGAATTTTTTTTCTTTTATGAAGTGCCTGTTCATGTTGTTTGCCCAGGTTTCTATTTGGGAATTAATAAAGTTCCTTTTAAAGGATGGTTTGGATTTTGTAAAGGTCATCCCACATAGAAGGAACGATGAGGCAAAGTAGAAGCTGAAAACACCTCAGAAAACATGTTCAGGAAAAAGAATGAAAATAGACATAAAAAGTCAAAATCTAAGGACACCTGGGTGGCTCAGTCGGTTAAGCATCTGCCTTTGGCTCAGGTCATGATCCCGGGGTCCTGGGATCGAGCCCCACATCAGGCTCCCTGCTCAGCGGGGACTCTGCTTCTCCCTCTTCCTGCCGCTCCCCCTGCTTGTGCTTTCTCTCTCTCTCTCTCTCCCCGTCAAATAAATAATTAAAATCTTAAAAAAAAAAAGTCATAAAATCTAAAACAAATCCAGTAAGGCCCCCTTAGAGATTGGCCTCATTCATAGACAATGGAGAGCAATGTGGTCCAAATGAGGTGATGAGCAGGAAGAACATTCTGGTTACAGCATACATGTTGGCTTGCGGGGACCAGTGTGGGTAGCTCAAGAAGAGAGGAACTTCCCACGGGGAAAGTGCTACAAGGGCTATAGAAACGAAAGCGGACGGCGGGAAGGCGCCGGAGACGAGAAAGCTGCTACAACCCTGGGCTGCGCCCACGTGCGCACACCGACTGCTGAGCGGTTGCCGAGAGCGAGCGGTACCGGCTCCCGCTGCTGCTGTCTCTGGAGCCACCAAAACTACGGGGACTTGCACTCCACTGTGGCCTCTCCTGGAGACTGGCCCAGAAATGGCTTCTTGGCCGGCTAATGTCCCACCAGTGTCTCCTCCTGGTGGGACTTCGGAAACCATCTGGCAAGAGCATTTGAGAAGTGCAGTTTCCGGGCTTCCTGCCTCTGCCACACACAGGAGCGCACAGAAAAGCAGGGGGGAGAGGGGGATCGGAATGCCAATAGACCCAACCTAGCAAAAGAGGGGACCCAGGAGAGTGTCCCCCGCCAGGATACGGCTCTCCCTGGAGGGAGGCCTGGATTCTAGAACTAGTTTTGTTACTGATGTGCTGGTCTCCTCCAAGGCAGTATAGCAGAGTGATTCGGCGCATAGGGCTCAGTGTCCTCATTGGAAAGTGGTAAATCATCACCACCTCAGAAGATTTTGTAAACGTTAAATGGGTTACTGTAAAGGACTAAGAAGGTGCCTGCAAAGTAGTAAGCATTCAACAAATGATAGCTATTGTCACTGTCACTATCTGATTTTAGTTTGCCGTCTGTAAAGTTTTAAGAAGAGAGTTAAGTCATCTTTGCTGATTTGGCGCCAGCCAGAGGAAAGGGAAACTAATGGTTGCCCTCAATCTGAGCCTGGCACGGGGCTGAAATTTGGAGATGCAGAGAAAAAATGAACAGTATCCCTGCCTCCAAGAGCTCACCGTTTCATGAGAGGACAGAGGAAAACCACTGATTCAAGGTAAAACGCGCTCAGTGACAGACTAGATCCAAGGAAAGTTCTAGAAGAGTACAGAGATGGGTTTGGCAGCAGAGTGGGAAGATCTATACGGACTCCACTTTAAATCCAAAATCATGTTCGGTGACCGTGGGCAGATCACTTAGTCATCCCCGCCTGCTCCCCAGTCCGTAAAAGCGGAGCTAGTAGGACCTGCCTCACAAAGCCGCCGTGGAAATCAGAGCCCCTCCTGTAGGCGCTGGCACAGAGATGCGTTCACAAGTGAGCATTACTACGACTCCAGTGCTCCAGACAAACGTCCAGGACCCGAACAGACATGCAAACGGCAGGCGGAAGGGCCGGCGGGAGAGCGGCCCCGCCCCCCAGGATCGCGTAATTACAGCGGCTGAAGTTAACAGAACCTGGGAGGCACCCACCCCCGGGGGCGCACGGGGCCTCGGCGTCTCTGTCGCCCGTGGCAACCGGCCGTCCTGGCGTCAGGCCTGAGAGGCACCGCGCAGGAGCAGCAAGATGGCCCTGAGCTCCTGGTCCCCAGAGCTGGGGTTCGGCGAGAAGGCGCTGCGGGAGGCAGCCGTCTCCGCCGGCCCCTCCCTGGAGCTGTGCACCTTCCCCTCCTCCCTGGGCTCGTCGGTGGCGACCGCGGCGCTGGAGCAGCTCTTGGTTGTGGGTGAGACGCCTGCGGGCGCCGGGAGGGACGGCGCCTCGGAGGTGGCACCTAGCCGGCACCGGGAGGGGGGGGGCCCTCAGCCGGGACCTTCCTGCGGGAACCCGGGGTGTCCACGCTACGGCAGGGCCCTCTCAGGCTCCTTGGGGGGAGAGAGAGAGAGAGGCAGCGCGGGGGGACCCAGGGCTCAGCTCTCCTGCTCTAGTGCCAATGGAGTGACTTGGCCCGGCTCACACTAGCAACTGGTGACAAACTCCAGGCAAAGCTTGGACTCTCGGGCCACTGCCATTTGCCTGCGACTGGGATGCCCACCTGCATTTAGATTATGCATTTAATTTCAGCTTCTCCCTTCTTTTCTTTGCAAGTTAACTTCCTCCAACATTTTGTCATGATAAAGTGGAGAATTTAACAGGCAAACAAGAAAGGGAGTGTTTAAGAAGCTCCTCTTGTATTAAACAAGGAAAATTAGACAAGGATGTTGAGGAGATGCAAACATAATAACCTTGGATGGGGCCAGGTTAAAATGCTTCTTCAGTTAGAAAGCTGAACCTGTAATTAAGACACCTAAGTTTAAGGTAAGATATGGTCCAGGAAAGGGCATTTCTTGTTTAGCTCATAAACCATTTAGGCCAAACAACAAAGCCTCTCCTTGCTTTACTATCAGCATCTCATGGCTTCAAGGTAATCATATTGATTTCTATTATAATGTTACTGTTAGTTTGGGGTCGTTTCTTTTTTCTTCTTAGATGTACTAATTTAACTTCACAATTCCTGTGAGATAGGCTTGCATGAGTACCATCATGGAGAATGTTAACCACCAAAGAGACCTAAATGAGTCACTATCATTGGCCATGGTAGAGCTAGGGTCTTGAACTTTCTTCATACTTGATCAGCATGTGCATTTCATCCCAGTACTTCTGTGCAAATATTTTTCTGCTAATAATTTCTGGACTCTCAGGAAGTTTTTTGTAGGAAGAAACTTCATTAAGCCTCTTGTGGGAGTTAGAAAATATGCAGCTCTCCAGCCCATTTGCAAGTGGGAACAGCTTGTGCTCATTGACTCCATTAGAAGAAGGGGAAGGTGATAACAGGCAAGGCCTGTCCCTTCCAAACACCTGCTTGCTTGCAAACTCAGTAACTGACTTTCACTTGGTTTGAGAGCTTAGTTCATTAAGAGCATCTGAGTTCCCTGGAACTGAGGGCAGAAATTGTTCTTTACGCTTCTGAGGGGTGAGTATGGCCATGAAGGCCAAGGACTCTGGAGTCACACCTGTGTTTGCATCTAGACTCTCTCAGTGATGGGCTCTGTGACCTTGAACATATGACATAACCTCAAAAGTCAGATTTCTCAGCTGTGAAATGGGAGTCATCACAAGATTATAGTAATCAACTTAGATAATGCATGTAAAGCATTAATCCCATCAAACTTATCCCACACATGAAGATGCAGGCCTGGAATTCATGTGGACAAAGTCCGGGTAACTCAGGGGCGCCAGAGCCAAGGTAAGTAGAGCTTCCTCTGTTCTCTCTCCTCCTTTTGTCCATTTTTCCCCTTCCTTCTTTCCATTTGGTACGTATCCAGTCTTCATTACCATTGCTAACATTTCATAAGCCTCTCTTCTCATGTGCTTCCTACTTACAGTGTATGAGGGAAAGGAGAGACCCTTCATATGTCAATGAATGAAAAGGCCTTAGGAGCTCTGTCTACCTCACGCCTACCAGTTTTACAGATCTTTACTCTCATCCCAGGATTTAAATATTGGCACAGAAGTAAAAATGACATAAGGGACTTTGAAACAGTTAAATAAATGAGTGGGTTTTTTGCAAAATATTATATTTACATGTATACAAATATAAATATATATACTATGAAAACATTCTCAAACCTATATTATAGGCATGTTATATTTATTCCTTTCATAAATATTTATTGAATTTTTTGTCCTATTCTATATAGATTCCTTCTTTCTCCCATGAGAGAGGCAAAGATGGAATATCAAGAGGAGTTTGTCCTCAAGAAGCATTAAATATGTACCTAAGTGAGAATACTATGAATTAGGAAATACGGTCAAAAGAGATTCATATTAAGTTCTATAAGAATTCAGAGATAGAAGATATAATTTTCAGCTGTGCAGGCATTTGAGCTAGATCTAAAGGGTTAAATGGGATTTGGACAAAAAAATAAGAGATCTTCATTTTCTTTCTTTTTTTTTTTTTTTTAGAACAATCACTACAAAGTGACTACTTTAAATGCAACGAAGAAGCTAAGACCTTTCTTAAGGACATTGCTATCGCTGTTAAGAAATTGGTATTGTATTATCTATAAGAACTGTTTTCTTTTTCTTTTTTTTTAAAGATTTATTTTATTTTATTTATTTGAGAGAGAATGAGAGAGAGCACATGAGAGGTGGGAGGGTCAGAGGGAGAAGCAGACTCCCTGCCGAGCAGGGAGCCCGATGCGGAACTCGATCCCGGGACTCCAGGATCATGACCTGAGCCGAAGGCAGTCGCTTAACCAACTGAGCCACCCAGGCGCCCAAGAACTGTTTTATTTTTCAATCTTCCACTTATTTCTTCATCAACTTTTAATTTAGTACCAACTCTGTTCAAGATACTTGAATAGATGAATAGGGAAAATATTTACCCTGAGCGGAGAAAATGTTTATCTCAGTTCACTAAGCGTGTGCCCCAGTGTCCAGAGCTGGGGGGTGCTGCCGGCTTTTCCCCAAGGACCCTGCCCTAAGGACCCGTGCTGTGGACGAGGGAGGGCAAGCCCACTTAGGAGAGTAGTACTGCTGCTAGCAGAGCTCCAGGAAGGGGTGGGCCGCATGGGCAAATGCGTGCCCCCAATAGAGAAGCCATGCGTGGTGCCTATTCACTCAGTTCTCTGGAAGTAATTTCTTACATAACTGCTGAGAGATGATTTGGCGCCTCTTTCACTGAAGTAGACCGTGCTCGTCAGTGCAAACAAACCAACTCTTTGTTCTGCTCACTGGGCCCCATCAAAGAAATATTTAAAGAATTTCCTATTGAACTGTCACACACATGTCTCTACGTGGCCCTGGATGATGTTTACAATGCTTCCCCCCAGCAGGGTGAGAAGGGTGAGGTCTCTTCATCTGATTTAAACGTATTGAAGAATCTACATATCAAATATCTAAAAATGCAGAAATGTGGCTATAAAGTCAATGAGTTTGAGTCTACAGACTGCTGAGAAAAGTTCATCTCCTTGATATTTTTCTGTGATTCTATATAAATGTATGTGTATTACAGCATTGTACTTTGCAATCCCAGTTAAATGAATACATGTATGTAAAGCCTGGGAGTTGGTGTGTGTGTGTGGAGCCCCACCGTGGTACCGTGGAAACCTGCCTCTGCTTTGTTCTTTGAGTTGTGTTTTCCTCCTGGGTTTGAAGGGGTCAAAATATTTAGTGTGGCTTATTAAAGTATCTACTATATCTCCATGTAATATTTGAGCTGTGAAATCTCTTAGAGATAAATCCCTCCATCTTATAAAGCAACAAATTTTCACTATTCTGGAAGCACTGCATATTTACCCTGGAAAAAAAAAAAAAAACTTTTTAAATAGACAAGTAAAAGAAGGAAAGTAAAAACCACCATGATCCCAACACCCTAAAATAATCATAATTAACTCTTTGATGAATGTCTTTACTGCTTCCAGGGACTAGACGATGCCTGTATTGAATTTTATATTTTTATAGAAAAGTGATCATGCTATATATACAATTATGTAATCTTTTTTTTAGATTTTTTTTACAATGTTAATCACCATACATTACATCATTAGTTTTTGATGTAGTGTTCCATGATTCATTATTTACCTATAACACCCAGTGCTCCATGCAGAACGTGCCCTCTTTAATACCCATCACCAGGCTAACCCATCCTTCCACCCCCCTCCCCTCTAGAACCCTCAGTTTGTTTGTTTCAGAGTCCAT